TTTTTTTTTTTTTTTTTTTTTTTTTTTTTTTTAAACTGTAATGCATCTTTATTAAGGTCTATTAACTACCCTAAATTACAAGACACGTAGAGCCAACATGCTTATACATCATGTCAACCCTATAACAGAGTGTTCAGAACAAATTACAAAATACATTACAGAAAAATAATAAAATAAATACAATACCTGTCATAATAAAATATACTAAAAACTAAACAGACTATTTAATTTTTGAAACCTAACTATTTGAATTCTAATTTTTAAAGTGTAGGATTAAAAGTGAAATGCGTAATAGTGTCCAGGTCTGCCTTGTGCAGCTTCAAAAAGATGATCCCCAACGGTCTCACACCCAAACATTTTATTCCACCAAATCCCCCTTATACCTACAAAAAATAAAAGTTAGTATTCTAAACTAAGACTAAACTAAAACTAAAGTAAAAAGGAAAGAACTTTTGTTATTTTTGTTATTGGAAAATTTTCGACATGTATCACGTGACTTCGATTAAAAAAGTTCTTCCTTCGCTCTTCACTCTTCACTTCTTGTTGTTCTTCTTCTTCTTCTTTTTCTTTCCACCGTTCTTCTTTGATGGTGATGTCTCGGGTTCTAATTCTTCTTCTTCTTCTTCTGCTTCTTCATTTTCTTCATTGTCTTCTTTCACGGAAGGGGATTGGATCAGCTCTCTTTGCCTTTTTTCTAAATAAAATGCCTTGAAAGCCTTATTCCTCTCCTCTTCATCCTCTATGTCACTCCATTTACTCAGCGATTCTAATATTGGACTTTTTTCGCCAATCTTCTTTTCATCTCAGTAGCGATTTTTGTTCTCCAATCTTTGTTTGAAATTATCGTTTAGGGTGGTATATTCTTCGAATATTTTTGATTTTTTTGCTAAACTTATAATCTTTTGTCCTAAACGGAAAAAATTGTTTTTTTCCAAGGCCCAATTCTTTGCTTCGTTCCAATTCCTTATCCCGTGCTCCTTGCGTAATTCGTCTACGGCCTCAACATTAATTTTTTCCCATTCCATTTTATTGGACGTTTGATTGAAGATTTCCTTCACTTCCTTCAGCTTATCCACCAAGCTTCCATCGTGGGTTGATTCTTGATACTGAACATATTTGATTTTATTGGTTGTTCTGTAATCTTTTATGATTTCAACCACTTCTTCAGGCACTACGTTATCTTTCTTCAGTTGTTGCCCCTTATTTTCTGAAGTGTCCTTTTGATCTAGAGTGTTCTCTTCTCCTACTCTCCAGTTTTTGATCATCTCGACAACTTCATTTTCGTCTGGCGTCTTACTAGTCCTTGAGGGCTGTTCCGCTTTTGATGGATGTTGTAAGCTTTCTTTTCATGAGGCAAAGTTCCCTAATTCTCTATAAATTCTCTCCGGTGGTGTAATAGGTGTCTTCGGTTCACTTGCCAGCCGTATAGGAGAACTCATCCTATTTTCCGTAGCAGTAACCTTTTCTTTGAACTTCTTCTCTTGTGCTTTCGTCGTCGCCTTTGTCTTTGCATCACCGTCTTTATATATCGTCTTCTTGTTTCTCACAAGCCAAACTCTATTGATATCTCCTTGTGTACACGAATCCTCCACTGCTTCTTCCATTTCTTTGAGGTTCTTGAAATACCCAATCACTTTCCAGTTTTGTGTGATTTTGATAATTTTAATGAACGCCATTTTGGAAGTTTGTTGCAGTTTTTTCGTGAAGTCGTATGTATTTCCCTTTTTTATGGATTCCATTTCCTCATTAGTTAGGTCTCTCACAGTCTGCCATTGATCCCGCTCTTGTCGTCCTTTCAAATCTAATTTTGCGTCGTACCATCTGATAAAGTTTTTGCTAATACAAATACCGAAATGTCCATCCACGAACGTTTTTTCAAAATTTTTATTCAGCGCGATTTTTGCCTTAATGGTTTTGTATTTGTATTATCCTCGGATTTGCAGTCTATAAACCATTCCTATCTTCATTAGATTTGTTCTTACGTCATCTTCGTTCCAATATTTTGGTATATCGTAGAAAAATATGTCACGTGCCTCCTTTGCCTGCTGATCATTACTGGTATTTTCAGGTAAAACTGGTATCTCTAAAATTTCTTCCCGTTTTCTCCTGTTTGATGTCGATCTTCCTTTTTTAGATTTGTTCGGCTGATCAAATTCTTTGTTGACGCCAGTTTTAACCTTTTTTAGTTCTGATCTCGTTTTCTCTACTTTTTGCGAAAATTTCCTTATTTGTTCATTTTTCTGCGATATTATTCATTCTTGTGTTTTCTCCAACTTCTCTTTCTTGTCCATCATGTGATCTTTCCTCCGCAGTTCTTCTCACAACTTTGAATTTTCCCATGAGAGTCTTTTTATTTCATCTGTATAGATATCGAAAGAAGTTGCTGAACACTTTAAAACTATTTCTTGTATAGTCTCTTTTCTGCGTACAGCGTCGTTCTGTATTGACTCCAGGAGGTTTTGTTCTGTTTTACTGAAACTAAAATCTCTTCGTGCTCTTTCTTGGCCTTTTACCGTAGTTCGTGAGTTCGCACTAGAAAAATTTTTTGTTTCTTTTAGAAACCTATATCTATATTCTGTAAATTTGTATGCTGACTCCATTTTTGAGGTTTTTTATTTGGGTTTTATTAATAAAAAGACTCGTAAAAGACGTTTTTCCTTCTGCTAAAAATTTTGGGCAGAATGATCGTCAGAAAGAGTTCCCCCTCATCATCCCCTTCTTTTTACAATATATTGTATGAAAAATACATTATATATATTAAATTTGCAATTAATGTGCATTTTCAGGGTATGCAAATCAAGTTTTTCATGTACAAAATATTGCATATTTTTTACATATAAAAAAATTTCCTGATGATATATTGTAAAAAAAAAAATATCCAATGGATTTTATTTGTATCATTATAGGGAATCATGTGCCTTTATCAACAAGAGTAAAATTTTGACCTGTGCCACTTATAATGCACTTTAAATTAGAGCATCAGGATATGTTTTTTTCTTTATTTACATACGAAATCCGTGATATCATACCAAATTTTGGATATTTTTTTTTTTAAATTAATTCGTGATCCGGATGTAAAAATTCGTAAATAATAAGAACACAAAAGACAAGTCATTTTTTAATTTTTATCGGAAGGGAAATGATACTACCTTACCCATAAAAATGCCAATTAAATAATTTCATACAAAACCTCGCCCCATTTTTTGATAGTAATTTTTACTGATTTATAATCAGATCTCGAATTAATAATTTTTTTATTTAACAAAAAAAAACTCATAAATTTTTTGATACATTACCATCCTGCTATTTTGAGATTTAATCATAATAAACTAAATAAACTTTTTAAAATGATAAATATAATAAAATAAAAGTTGCATAACTTCATATGCCAAACTGCATTTTGGTTTAGTTATAAAAATATAATATGAAATTACAAATAAAATCTGTGCAACTTCACATGTCAAAATTATGGTTTAATTTTTATTATTTACAAATATATAATAATAACTGATAATGAATAATAATATATACTATAAAAAATCTTCTCATATAAATAAATTACCTTTATATATATATTAAATAAAGAAGTGTTCTTTTTATTCTTTATCGCTAGTTTTTACATTCTTAAAAAAATTAAGTTTGATATTTTTCAAATAAAATACTTATAACATGACCACCTCTTTGACAGTAGTTTGTTTTATTAACATTAAGCAAGACACATCGGGATATTTTTTTTGATTTTACATAAAATTTTTGAAATCTGTGATCGTTGTACCAAATTTTTATTTAATTGTTATTTTTTTTTTAAAATTGAGTTTTTATTTTATAAAAATACTATCATTAATTAAAATTATTTTTATTGATACATTATTACCATGATCCTACTATTTTGAGATTTACTAATCATAAGAAACTAAGATAAAAAAAAATGTAAAATTTTTAAAATGATAAAATACAATAAAATAAAATTTGCATAACTTCATATGTTAAACTACGTTTTGGTTAGTTATAAAAATAATAATAAATAATATATATACTGTAAAAAATCTTCCTCTTTATTTAATATATACATATAAAGGTAATTTATTTATATGGGAAGTATTCTTTTTATTCTTTATCACTAGTTTGACATTCTTAAAAAAAATCAAGTTTGATACTATTTTTGAAATAAAATACTTAATAACATGACCACCTCTATGAAAGTAGTTTTCTAATTAAGCAAGACACTGACCGGTATAAATTGGATACGTTTTTTATAAAGTTCTTATACGATTTTTTTCCTTAGAAATAACGAATCATGATAGTCCGTTGAAAGGATACGGAAAAATGCACAATTCTGTATCACTAAAAATATGGTTTGGATACGGAATTTGCATGGGATTCGTATGGAATTTACATGATTTAATCACTTATTTTATCATGAAATTTATACGATTTGGCAACTGAATTTACTATTTATACTAAAGTTTATTATAGTTGTATTTACATAAATTACTTATTAAATTAAATAAAAAATAAACAAAATACAAATATATGATGAAAATTCCCTTCCTTATCAAAACCACCTATTACAACCAAATATATCTATAAGTCCAGGTTCATTCAGAGTCAAACGACCTAAAAAAACAAAAAAAAGAAATATAAGAATGTTAATTTAATTGGAACATGTAAATAACATATAAATGAAGTTTCTATTAAGACAGCTACAAAAAAACAAAATCTTATGAAAATTAACTTTGGTATTACTTATGTGGTAATTTTTTTATTTTTATGTTTCAGAATATGCTAAGTCGTAGTACAAATTATCAGAACAACAATAAATATACAAATAATACTGCCGTGAAAATAATTCGAACACTACGAACCAAACCGCAAGCTAGTAAACCAGACAGATGATGACTCCTGACCTTGAAGAGGAGAGAAACGGACCTGATCCAAGATCAACCCCAGAACTCCCCCGCCAACATGGAAAGAAATAAAAAAACTAAGAAAAACATAAAAATACTATCTAGTATATATCTATATTATATTTTATAACATTATAATAAAAATTTTCAAATAAATCTATTTTATCAAACCAAATTCGATCTCTATGAGATTCCCAAGAACCTGAATGTAAAAAATTACTCGACGTCCACCTAATAATGTGTGCGTCATTATCAGAGAACCCACCGCTATGGCTATAAGGGGTGGAGTGATTTTGATTAAAATAAACACAATGAATGTTCCTATGTCAATTATCGTCCTTATTCAAATTCAGACGGTTATAATGTAGATTGTGATGTTGTCTGTAATATTTCTTTTTTTGTTTGTTAATATTGACACAGGTCAAAAAGTGAAAAATCAGGCACCAATCGGTCACCAATCAGGTAGCTGATTGGTGACTGATTGGTGACCGATTGGTGCCTGATTGGCATTTTCGCCAAATACCGTCACCAATTAGGCAGTTTGCTAACTTTTGATCCAGTGATCAGAAAAGTATGAAATATAGCTCATTGGAATCGCCTCAGCAAGACGAATCTAATGGTAATAAAATCGCATTTCTAGGATTAATACTTGATGAGAAATTTAGTAAAATATAAAATAAAAATGTATCATTTATATTTTATTTAATTTTTTATTAACTATTAATCCTAGAGATGCGATTTTACTACCATTAGATTCGTCTTGTTGAGACGATTCCAATGAGCTATATTTCATTTTTTTCTGATTACTAGATCAAAAGTTAGCAAACTGCCTGATTGGTGCCTGATTGATGCCTGATTTTTCACTTTTCGACCTGTGTGAGGCTGCGATCCCGCAGCGTTACGGTGATTCCAAATATTTGTATCAATATTCTCCATAATGATATTCATAAATTTAATGAATAAATCAAAACGAATTTTCTTTTTTGATATATAATTATGAAATATATCAGTGAGGTCTCTGAATAAGTAAATAAAAAGGGTGACTCTTTAATAAAAAAGGATCCAAATTTGTGTTGAAAATTTTTGAGTTATTAATAGTGATTTTTAAAGTCAAATTGCGTTCAGCATCGTCATTCATCAATAGTTCATATAATGTGTCAGATGCATTAGAAATAATTTGTTGTATAGTTGTAGTATGAGCTGTACAAAGGCCTATATGTTCATTATTGTCTTTTACAGCGTTGCATTTCACACAAGGGATTATAACTCGGGGATATAAGCGAAGGTAATTTCTTTGTTGTATGTCATTGGTAGGGTGTGTAAAATTGCATTTTTTCATTTTATTACCTTGTATTTTTGATAATTTAGCACTACAAGGTGTGCCTAGAGGGTTACTGTTGATCCATTCATGGGTGAAGTTCCAATCTATATCATCATCTGTTAACGATTGTTCAATTAGTTTGAGTTTGGAATTGTTAATCATTGAATTAAAAATTGTAGGTTGGATAACCGTATCTGACCATTTTTGTACATTTCTATCTATTACAAATATATTATTCCAGGTAATCAGACCTAGACTATTTTGATGAAAAAATTTGTGATTAACAATAATGGGATCTTTGATATGAGCGCCAGCATTTGCTAGTTCGTTAGCTTTGTTATTCAACAAGTTGTCACTATGTCCTTTGACTTCAGTTTATGTAGAGTGACCAATAAATTTTTGATATTAATTAAATAAAAAATTAAATCCCAGATCAAAAAATTCTTTTGTTTCAATTTTTGTCGTGAATTTAAAATAGGAGATAATAAAAATTTGTTGAAAGTTGTAATACAATTAGCGGAATCGGTATAAATGTTCAAATGACTATTGAAAGGTACGACAATTATAGCCGCAAGTATGGCCATCGCTTCACTTTTTGTAGACGATGGGAAAAAAATCGTAGAGCCATGGAAAGAAAGTTTTGGTGTATTAGGTTGACACTGAATCCAGCCATATCCACTGGAGCATCTGGAGGTTCCTATATGTTTGACTGAACCATCTGTATAAAAAGTCAATAATGTTTCATTATCTAATTTTAAAGCGATGGACTTTAACTCTTTTTTGATATTCTTATGACAGAGTAAAGCTGAATCAATGTGTGCGTAAATTTGTGATAAAAAATTTTTTCCTTTTTCTTTAATAAAAGATGACGAATCAATAGAATCAGGGGTAATAATATTTAAAGGTATTTTTTCTAAATTTAAAAAATATTCATAAGCTATATGCCTAAGAGAATGCAAAGGTTTAGTAACTACATAAAAAGGAGTATTATTATAAAAATTAACCAAAGATTTATAAGAATGTGAAGATTTTTGATAAATTTTAATAAGTAAACGTTGAGTTCGAATGGCGATAACGCATGTTGTACTTATTGGTTATTTTAGATGATAAAAATTAATTTATTATTGGCTATTAACTAATATTAATGATTGTAATTTAAGTAGTAAATTCATTGACCAATTTTATGCTCAAATTATGCAAGTTCTATGATCAAATCAATATAAATTCAGTGTAAATTATGGTCAAATCATGAAAATAATGCATTTTGTGATATGGAATTGTGCATTTTCCCATATTCCTATATAGATTAAATGTATTATTTTTAAGAAAAATTGCAAAAAACCAAGCTCACTGCTATATTTAATATTTACTTGTTTATTTACAGTATATGGGAAAAATTTTTTTGCAGTATGTATTATTATTTATTAGTTTAACATCATGTGAACTAAGTTACACAGATTTAATTATTTGTATTTTCATATTATATTTTATTTGACATATGAAGATATGTAATTTTATTGTATTTTATCATTTTAAAAATTTTATTTTAGTTTTTTATGGTTAAATCTTAAAATAGCAGGATGGTAATGTAAAAATACTACTAGTTTATCCAAGAATTTGGTACAATATAACGATCACAGATTTCGCAAAAGTTTTTAATTTTATGTAAATCAAAAAAAAACATATCCTGATGTGTCTTGCTTAATTAAACAGACTACTGTCATAGAGGTGGCCATGTTATAAGTATTTTATTTCAAAAATATCAAACTTGATTTTTTTAAGATGTAAAAACTAGTAATAAAGAATAAAAAGAATACTGTCTCTTTAATTAATATACAGTATAAAAAGGTAATTTATTTATATGAGAAGATTTTTTTACAGTATATACTAGCAGTTACGAATGTAATATAAATAATGAGAACAATGAAACTAAAAAAACAGATCCCTCACCTCTGCAAAGATATTGTAGTCAACCTACTGAACTAAGTGACTTGTCATTGTTTAGGTTATACCTGGAATACAAGGTAGTGAAAGGAAAATAGGTAAAATGCAGTAAAGAAAACGTAATACGTGTCTGGCCGTGACAATCTCCAATCAAAAATGGTCCTCAGTTGGAAGACTTTTGTCGTATAAAAGTTCTCTTATATGTTCGCTATAGAGGTATCCTTAGCCTTACAGAGAATGATACACTTTCGTGAATAGACTTATATAACCGGCATCTTTCAAAAATCAACAGTGATCCTAGTGACTAAATTGGATCTGCAGTGGATAATCTTGAGGAAATGGATAGTAATGATTTAGATGATGATACCGATAACATTGCACAAGAAGAGAATGAACCTCAAGCTGATTGGATGGTACTGTCCGAAATGATGCCAAAGAGACGAAACAACAATTTTACCGATTCTTTAGGTAACCGTGATATTGACATAAATCATGACTGGGTTGGTGAAAGTTGGTCACGATTTCCTGAATTTGAAGAAGCAGAAAGTTTCATTCAGTGGTAATTGGTGACAGTGATGCAATTCAAGTCAGGAATAATTTAGCAGTAAAACTCTAAATGATAAACAAAGGATAATATTTGAAAGAATCGAAAAACATTACATTGCTTCAACTTCAAATGAAAATGTAGAACCTTTGCGAATTATTATTATGGGTACTGCTGGAACCAGCAAATCTTACCTAATAAATATCATTCGGGAAAGGTTGCAAGAAAGTAGCATTGTACTTGCTTCAACAGGCGTTGCAGCCTTTAATATTCAGGGTAGTACTATACATTCAGCGCTTTCCATTATATGTATACGGAAAGGATACATTTTGTATACATTTTATGTACGTTTCTATAGATTCTGTATACAAATTCCATATATTTAATAAGCAATTCATTTTTGAACATTTTTTAAAAAAACTAATGTATAAGAAATGTATACGGAAAAAATTAATCATGCGGAATGTATACGGAATTTTTAAACTTAATATTTTTAGAAGATAATCTTACAAAAATTCCGTATCATAACACGAGATCACATGATTGTTTATTGTTTTGTTATGATACGTTTTTTGTTTTTTATATAAACCTCCAATCTTCCTTTCTGTCTTTCCTTTCCTTTCTCTTTCTCTTGTCTTATTTTTGTTATTTTTTCTAAAATTTTCTTCTTTCTTCGTCACCCCCTTTTAAAAATATTTTTTTTTTTTCGTATCTCACTTTAAAAAAATTTTTTTTTCATCACTTTCCTTTGAAAAAAAATTTTTTTCGTCACTCCTTTAAAAAAAAATTTCTTCTTTCTATTTCTATTTCCTCTTTATAAAAAAAATTTTATTTTCTAACTTTGACGTCCTCCCTTTAAAAAAAAATTTTTTTTAACTTTCCTAACTTTGTTACCCCTCTTTTTAAAAAAATATTTTTTTTGGTTTATTCTTTATTCCCCTTTCTTCTTTATTTATATTTAATTTCATAGGCCAGCAGATTTTTTTTGTGAGAATATTCAGTTTCTTTCTTCTTTTTTGTAGATCAGTTTGGGAGTCCTTTTCTTTTTGTAGGATGATTCAGAATTTTTTTCTTTTTTTAGGTCAGTTCAAATTTTCTTGTTTTTTTGTAAGTTGGGTTCAGATTCTTTTCCTTTTGTAGGTTGTTTCAGTTTTGTTGCTTCAGAGTCTTCTTTTTTTGTAGGTCAGTTTTGGATTTATTTTGTTGTTTTGGTTTCTTTTTCATTAGACGCTTCATAATTCTTTTCTTTTATGTAGGTCAGACATTCTGGAGTTCTCTTTCTTTTTTTGTAGGAATGCTGACCTTTGGTGACTTGGACAATTGCAGATACTATATGAGGGGGGGTTTTGTTTCCAATCTTTTTTTTTGTTCTTTTAGGTTGTTTGACTCCAAATGAACCTGAACTTATAGATAATTTTGGTTGCAATAGGTGGTTTTAATAAGGAGGGAATTTTCATAATGTATTTGTACTTTGTTTATTTTTTATTTTTTATTTAATTTAATAAAGTGAAATTAGATTTATGTAAATACAATTATAGTAAACTGTAATACAAATAGTAAATTCAGTGACCAAATCGTATAAATTTTGTGATAAAATCAGTGATCAAATCATGTAAATTCCATATAAATCCCATGCAAATTCTGTATCCAAACCATATTTTTAGTGATATGGAATTGTGCATTTTTCCGTATCCTATTATGATACGTTATTTCTAAGGAGTAAAAATCGTATAAAACTTTATAAAAAACGTATCCAATTTTTTTATAGGGATTCCTATAATATGCAGCACAGATTATACTTTACTAAAAATGGCCAATTTTTTGAAATGATTTTGGAATAATTTTAAAATACTACAAAAATACATTTAATACATCAAAATGTTTTTATTATATGTTTGCTATTATTTTGTAATTATATTGTATCTAGGTCTATAAAAATAACTCAAAATAATATCACAATAATTTTTTAATGTTTTTGTTATTATTTTATTATTATAATATAATTAACTTTGATATTATTTTAATATTTTAATCTTAAAAATATCTTAAATATATCTTGATATATTTTAAAAATTTTACAAAATAATTGCACAATTGTTTTGAAAGCCATTTTATCTAGGTCTATAAAAATATTTCAAAAAATTGGTCATTTTTAGTAAAGTAAGCTTGAAGGCGAATCTCTGAAAAAATTACAAAATAGAATGAAGGATATTAAATATCTTATCATTGATGAAATGAGCATGGTAGGTCGTCACTTTCTTGCTATAGTTGATATGAGATTGCGTAAAGCATTTCCAAAACATTCCAATCATAATTTTAGTGGGCGGTCTATAATCCTTGTCAGTGACTTTGGACAGCTACCTCCAGTGTGTGATATTCCCATGTATTCTCAAGATCATCGACCATCAGATTCCTTATTTGAGGATGGACGTAATATCTATCAGCAATTTCAAGAAGTTTATAAACTTGAAGCTGTACAACGACAACTTGGTAACTCAGATAAACAATGCCAATTTAGGAACCTTCTGTATCGCTTACATAATGAAGAATCTACATTAGCTGATTGGGAATTATTAATGATGCGAATCCCAGAAAAATTGCCAGAATTAGAGAAACAAATTTTCAAATTTCATCAGTATTCTCACAACACGGGAAGAAGTTGATAGAATTAATGCTGATAAACTTCGGTCACTAAACCAACCTGTCGCTAAGATTGGAGCAGTTCATACGGGTGGCTTTGAAGCTTCGAAGGCTGATTCAAATACAGCAAAAAATCTTGATTCTGGAATATTATTAGCAAGAAACGCACGTATTATGCTCACTGCAAATCTTTGGGTTGCCACTGGAATTGTAAATGGTATCATGGGAATAATAACAGATATATTATATAAGAAAAACCTGAGCACACATCATTACCTAATGCCATTCTAGTTTCCTTTGACCAGTATTGTGGCCCAACTCTTACAAACTTGGATGGAAGTGCGGTTGTACCTATTGTTCTTATACGACGTATGTTGGAAAGCAAGTCTGGTGTTTTCTCCCACCTACAATTTCCACTTTCTCTTGCATAGATCTTGGCAAGAAGGAATTTGCCACTGGTTTACCATTTGTAACAATCTCCCACATTCGTTCTCTCAATGATATTATTTTCAAGCAATTTGGTTTTAACAGACTTGAGCGTATAAAAACTGTAAAAGGCTAAAAGAACGTATAGCGGAAGAAAAAAGGCTAGCTGAAATGGAAGCCACGGTGCAAAAATAAAAGTTGATAAAATAAAAGTTTTTTTTTTGTTCAGATTTTAGGAAAATGTGCGTTAGTAACAAAAAAAAAAAAGTTTTTTTTTGTACGCGTAATAGTATTATAATTGTTACAATCATACAAATGGTATAATATATGCAAGTGTTACATGATTATATATTTATTTGGTATACTACAGGGGCATATAGTAAGTATAGTTACATAAAATCGTGAATCGTGATACAAATTATAAAAAAAGAAAAAAATTTGACGATTGTGACAGGGACAAAAATGGGGGTTAAAACAAATTTTGTTAATTCAGTACAGTAAATAGTCCTTCGCTAATGCTACGGACAATCAATCAACTCAAAATTGAAATTTGATCATGCCTTTACAGAAACTTTAAGTTTTCAAATGATATNGTACGCGTAATAGTATTATAATTGTTACAATCATACAAATGGTATAATATATGCAAGTGTTACATGATTATATATTTATTTGGTATACTACAGGGGCATATAGTAAGTATAGTTACATAAAATCGTGAATCGTGATACAAATTATAAAAAAAGAAAAAAATTTGACGATTGTGACAGGGACAAAAATGGGGGTTAAAACAAATTTTGTTAATTCAGTACAGTAAATAGTCCTTCGCTAATGCTACGGACAATCAATCAACTCAAAATTGAAATTTGATCATGCCTTTACAGAAACTTTAAGTTTTCAAATGATATTGAAATGATATTGAAATGATATCGTTAAGATAAACTTAACGATATCGATTCTATATTGATTAAAAATGGTAAGTTTCTGTAAAGTGAGATCAGTGTAACCTAGGGATGCTCATGGTTCGAACCGAGCCAGTTCGGTTCATAGGCGGTTCGGCTTGGTTCAGTTCGTGAGTGAACCAGGTAAACCATCGACTCACGGCTAAATTCTGTAATTCTGGCCGGAGTTAACTAATGTCATGTGATATTACACTGATTTCCAAAAAGAAAATCTTGTTTCTTATAAAAACCGAAAATGAAAAACGGAAGCTACAAAAAAAAAAAACTCTTTCCCCTTTCTGTTTTTTTTGTTAATATTCCGCAGTAACCTATTTTTTCTCACGAATAAATTTTTTTCAAGAGGAGAGGACCACGGGGTGGCCTCCACAGAAAGGCTTCCTCTTATTTCATCTGTTCTTTGAAAGAGTCTGAGATGGGAAATAACACTATCTCTATAGATAATATGCCACTAGAGGCTATTTCTTTCCCTTCTTTACAAAAAATTTCTACAAAATCCACTTTTCATAACGAATATAGTTTTCTTATTTCGGTGAAAAAATTTCACGTGAATAACAACACTCGTACCGGTTATAACAAGATTTACGAATTTAGACGCTCAAAAAGTTACTTTTTTGAGCTTGCCAATCAATTTTCAGGCACCAATGATATTCACCTTATCATACATACAAATGATTACAACATGCAGACTAAACCGACCCAGTATATTTCAACGAGTCCATTTCCCAACAAGAAATTCCAAATTAGTAAAATGCTCACGCACTTCTTTTCCTTACAACGAGTCATACCACGAAGAATACAACAAAGATATTTTAACCTTATCCGCCACAAGCTATTGGATCGGTTTAATATTATCCGATCCCGCGTAGGCAGTACTCTCTTACCTGATAATGAAGATCACCCTCACCTCGGAAGTCAACATAACAAATCTTCCAAAACTTTCTTCAACTTCTCGTACAAGAGATATCGTTTTCGCTTCGGCTGTTACATACCTTGCCGATGCTTGATGACTTTAAATAAGTCCAAAGATATATCTTTTTGCCATGTCCCCAGTCCTTTTGTAATGACTAATGATCGTCACGCTTGTGTCGATCATCAGAAAGAATTCTTTCGAAATCGACTCTTTCATTTTATCAAACACGATAGTCCACGAGATCAAGTCTTGTCTAATAACAAGACTTCTCACGCTACACAGCTCTACAATAGATGGAAAGAAGGCACAGAAAAGGAAATTTTTTCGCGACGCCTTGGCATTGAATTCTCTATGAAATACTTGGCCGCCAGTAATAAAAACATCATACGCTACAATCACCGTTATATGTATATGAAACGGTTGTTTAATTTCAAATTTATACACTCACCTAATCCGAACATAAAAAAGAAACAACAGAAGCGTTTCAATCGATCTTGCAATAGAGTTTTTAATACCCGTTACGATTCCTCGTGTATTAGTTTTGAAGAGAAACTTAAAGCTGCTCAAGCAAATCATTTTATTTTTCACAAACATCAAACTATTCACAAAAATCTCTCGCACCTCACCTATTCGAAGAAATCGGCAATTTCCGATGCTAATAGTTACCCATTTAACATTCCTTTTTACGAACTGATAATTGGACCTTCGGCCCCTAAAGAAGACCTCCTCCTAGATGAACCCGCTTTGGTGTTCTCCGGGGTATTCAAAGTTGATTTACCTGCCAATACACCTTCACTGAACTTAAATTCATCAGGAACCTCGATGAACAATTTCAACTTTAACAATTCTATAGACAATTTGACGTCTAAGGATATTTTCACTTTTTCACCACATCCTGCACATACCATGGTCCCTACAGTAGAAAACTACAATCCGTTTCGCAAGTCCTTAGGTGACCGATTTAAACCCTTCGTCCCTAGATCTCCCATTTATGATCATTTCGGTCATTATTTACCGCCTGAATCTGACGGATGGTTACAAGTTGTTAAGAAATCCTACGCATCAAGAAACAAACCCGACCCGGTGGTCGAGCTGCAACAATGGCAAGCAAGTAAAAAAAAGAAAAATCGGCTCAAGCCTAAAGAATATCAATGTCGGCTAGATGAGGCCATACGCCAATCAACTCTACACATTTATCACGGCACTAGTGCCAAACACGTTAAACGTCTTCTTGCTACTACGACCCATCTTACCACATTACAGACAACATATCACCGGTACATGTCCTATGCGACCAGCGATTGCTCAGAACGCATCTATCAACATGAACTTAAACGTTTCCAATATTATCTGGATGCCCCTCCAAAAAATTACATGCTCCCGCACCTCGAGGATATCGCCTATAATGACACCTCCGACGATACTAAATGCCTCGAAGTTCGTCCCAAGAAACGGGACACTCTTACTAACCTCTGTGATCGTTATCTCCACAGAGACCGAATTAAACATATACGACTGGATACGGGTTACCCTATTGACTCCCCTGTTTCTAGTTTGAACAAATCTTAGATTTTGTTAATTTTAATTTACTTTATATTTACATTTGTAATGAGTTCAAAATTTTAACAGCTCCGTTCCTTCAGTTTCACTCTGATCAACCTTACCCCTTATTAGCGTGAATTGAAGTTTAATGAATTTAGAACAATTTAGAATAGTGTGAATCATTCCACCTCTGACAGTATTTACAGGTGGTCACCCATGTGGGTGAAAAGAAAAATACGGGCCGTTACTTTTTATGTTTTGGTTGTTTCATTTGATAGTCCGTTTTAGACTCCAGGTTATGCTTGATTGTTCTATTGAATAATAGGCAAGACGACCCCTTCAGGCTCCTCCTGAGAGGTTGGGTAAAACACTAGCTTTGAATTTATTGATCTTTTAGACCATGTCTATTCCTATTTAGCGTTCGACCCCAGTCGAGTCTATATCATAAAAATAAAAATAAAAATAAAAAAATAAAAACCGAAAATGTGTTACACAAACATTCCAAAAATGGTATGCCACGTGATTTACAGATAATTTTGGTAGCTTTTGCCAAATTTTGGAAGTTTCGGCTAAGTTTTGGTAATTTCGGCCAGTTTAGAAAGTTTCGACCAGAGTTTCAGCCAAGTGTTTTAGTTTTGGAAATCTAAAATTAGCTTTGGTAAGCAATATTAGATTTTGACTATCATTAATTAGATGATCTAAATACTATAAAAAATCAATTGAGTCGATGGTTCACCCGGTTCACTCGCGAACTGAACTGAACTGAACCGCCTATGAACCGGCTCAGGTTCGAGTCATCGGTTAGTGAACCGTGATCATCCCTAGTGTAACCCAACCAAAAAAGCTGATTGAACAATTATGAACTGGCCTATTATAATATTATAATGATATAAATTATATTTAGAATAATGTAGCTTATATTAATGATTTGACGTTTGAGTGTAGAATGAAATTTGGATTAATTAAGGAAGATTATAACTAATTTTCACTCCAGGCGATTTAACAATTTTTCACCTAGGATGATTTAACTTATATAATTTACCCGGTGATATCACCTCATTATTAAATTTGTACATGCGTACTCAGATAATCTTTTTTTCTTTAGGTCCTTTCACTCTTTTGCACAGCACTCAATGTACGTTTTCTTTTTTGCTTCTTGCATTTTGTATCCTACTAACTTTATTTTGTTTTTTAGGTCTTTTGGTTCTTCTCTGAAATTAGTTGTTTCTTATTTCATTTTACATCAATCTTAAACTTTATAACCAACTTCGGAAAAATATTTGAATAATCAAATTGTTCATTTCATTTATTATTATTCTTTTGATACTCATTTTACTTGATAATTATTAATTTAACTAAACCATTTGAATTAAAATCTTTATTCAAAAGTCTGGTGATTATTTAGAGAATTTCGGATATAGATTCAGTTATAATTATCTATTATTAAATCAACAATTTCTTTAATTTTTTTTTGATTTTTATGAATTTGAAAATCAAAATCAAACTATTTATCCAGCGTTCAATTTAATTGTAAAATTTTTAATCATCTTTCTATCAATGTCGGTCAATTTTCCTATAGTATGTTATATTGATTTTTTTAAAAAAATAATCACGGTTATCAAAAAAACCGTTATAATCAAAAAAAGTCAAAAAAGTGGTATAACAAAAAATTAAATAAAAAATAATTCAAAAAAAAAACAAAAAAATTAAATAAAAAAATAGTTATAATGGGAAAAAATATAAAAAAATTACGTAAAAAAATTGGACCTTTCGGGATAATTGAACTTACTGATATTAACCTTAATAATCTAGAAAATAAAGCAAAAAAAACTTACGCTAACATGGAATAGATTAGGCGCAAACAGAAAATACATTGCACAGATTTTATTTGTTATATTTTATAACTAAACCAAAACGTAGTTTGACATATAAAGTTATGCAAATTTTATTTTATTGCATTTCATCATTTTAAAAGCTTTACATTTTTTTTTTATCTTAGTTTCTTATGATTAAATCTCAAAATATTAGCAGGATGGGTAATGTATCAATAAAAATAATTTTAATTAATGTTTAAGAATTTGGTACGACATGACGATCACAGATTTCGTTAAAATTTTCAATGTAAATAAAAAAAAAAATATTCCGATGTGTCTTGCTTAATTTTAATTAAACAAACTACTGTTATAGAGGTGGTCATTTTATTTCAAAAATATCAAAATTTTTTTAAGAATGTAATATATATATATAAAGGTAATTTATTTATTATGGAAATATTTTTTTACAGTATATATTATTATTTATTATTATTATTTATTCATAAATAATAAAAATTAAACCATAATTTTAACATGTGAAGTTGCACAGATTTTATTTGTAATATTTTTATAACTAACCCTGTAAAAAAAAAAATGTCCGGAAATTGTAGCTAAAAACATCCGGAAAATGTCCGTGTGTCCGGAAAACGTCCAGAAAATTGCAATATTCTGGACACTTTCTGGACTCTGGGTCTGAACCCTGTCTCTTATACACATCTAGATGTGTATAAGAGACAGAGTTAAACGTCTTCTTGCTACTACGACCCATCTTACCACATTACAGACAACATATCACCGGTACATGTCCTATGCGACCAGCGATTGCTCAGAACGCATCTATCAACATGAACTTAAACGTTTCCAATATTATCTGGATGCCCCTCCAAAAAATTACATGCTCCCGCACCTCGAGGATATCGCCTATAATGACACCTCCGACGATACTAAATGCCTCGAAGTTCGTCCCAAGAAACGGGACACTCTTACTAACCTCTGTGATCGTTATCTCCACAGAGACCGAATTAAACATATACGACTGGATACGGGTTACCCTATTGACTCCCCTGTTTCTAGTTTGAACAAATCTTAGATTTTGTTAATTTTAATTTACTTTATATTTACATTTGTAATGAGTTCAAAATTTTAACAGCTCCGTTCCTTCAGTTTCACTCTGATCAACCTTACCCCTTATTAGCGTGAATTGAAGTTTAATGAATTTAGAACAATTTAGAATAGTGTGAATCATTCCACCTCTGACAGTATTTACAGGTGGTCACCCATGTGGGTGAAAAGAAAAATACGGGCCGTTACTTTTTATGTTTTGGTTGTTTCATTTGATAGTCCGTTTTAGACTCCAGGTTATGCTTGATTGTTCTATTGAATAATAGGCAAGACGACCCCTTCAGGCTCCTCCTGAGAGGTTGGGTAAAACACTAGCTTTGAATTTATTGATCTTTTAGACCATGTTTATTCCTATTTAGCGTTCGACCCCAGTCGAGTCTATATCATAAAAATAAAAATAAAAATAAAAAAATAAAAACCGAAAATGTGTTACACAAACATTCCAAAAATGGTATGCCACGTGATTTACAGATAATTTTGGTAGCTTTTGCCAAATTTTGGAAGTTTCGGCTAAGTTTTGGTAATTTCGGCCAGTTTAGAAAGTTTCGACCAGAGTTTCAGCCAAGTGTTTTAGTTTTGGAAATCTAAAATTAGCTTTGGTAAGCAATATTAGATTTTGACTATCATTAATTAGATGATCTAAATACTATAAAAAATCAATTGAGTCGATGGTTCACCCGGTTCACTCGCGAACTGAACTGAACTGAACCGCCTATGAACCGGCTCAGGTTCGAGTCATCGGTTAGTGAACCGTGATCATCCCTAGTGTAACCCAACCAAAAAAGCTGATTGAACAATTATGAACTGGCCTATTATAATATTATAATGATATAAATTATATTTAGAATAATGTAGCTTATATTAATGATTTGACGTTTGAGTGTAGAATGAAATTTGGATTAATTAAGGAAGATTATAACTAATTTTCACTCCAGGCGATTTAACAATTTTTCACCTAGGATGATTTAACTTATATAATTTACCCGGTGATATCACCTCATTATTAAATTTGTACATGCGTACTCAGATAATCTTTTTTTCTTTAGGTCCTTTCACTCTTTTGCACAGCACTCAATGTACGTTTTCTTTTTTGCTTCTTGCATTTTGTATCCTACTAACTTTATTTTGTTTTTTAGGTCTTTTGGTTCTTCTCTGAAATTAGTTGTTTCTTATTTCATTTTACATCAATCTTAAACTTTATAACCAACTTCGGAAAAATATTTGAATAATCAAATTGTTCATTTCATTTATTATTATTCTTTTGATACTCATTTTACTTGATAATTATTAATTTAACTAAACCATTTGAATTAAAATCTTTATTCAAAAGTCTGGTGATTATTTAGAGAATTTCGGATATAGATTCAGTTATAATTATCTATTATTAAATCAACAATTTCTTTAATTTTTTTTTGATTTTTATGAATTTGAAAATCAAAATCAAACTATTTATCCAGCGTTCAATTTAATTGTAAAATTTTTAATCATCTTTCTATCAATGTCGGTCAATTTTCCTATAGTATGTTATATTGATTTTTTTAAAAAAATAATCACGGTTATCAAAAAAACCGTTATAATCAAAAAAAGTCAAAAAAGTGGTATAACAAAAAATTAAATAAAAAATAATTCAAAAAAAAAACAAAAAAATTAAATAAAAAAATAGTTATAATGGGAAAAAATATAAAAAAATTACGTAAAAAAATTGGACCTTTCGGGATAATTGAACTTACTGATATTAACCTTAATAATCTAGAAAATAAAGCAAAAAAAACTTACGCTAACATGGAATAGATTAGGCGCAAACAGAAAATACATTGCACAGATTTTATTTGTTATATTTTATAACTAAACCAAAACGTAGTTTGACATATAAAGTTATGCAAATTTTATTTTATTGCATTTCATCATTTTAAAAGCTTTACATTTTTTTTTTATCTTAGTTTCTTATGATTAAATCTCNGAAGGTAGATCCAACTCTTAAATAATCAAAATTTTCTTCCAAATATATTATGGAATTAATATCTTAGTGTCAAAAAATATAATTACGCAATATAGAAAAGTTGGGTTCGTCTGTCTGGGTAGTTTACTATAGTATATAGGGAGCCAATAGTTTTTTTTTAAGTTGTATTTTTTGTATCAATGGTTTTTATACTGTTTACTTTTATATTTTAATAAATTGACTTATAATTTTAGCAGCCAGGGCACATAGTAAGGAATTGTTCTGACCAAAATAACAACAATACGATATCAGTTACATACAATAGTGAAGGTAGATCCAACTCTTAAATAATCAAAATTTTCTTCCAAATATATTATGGAATTAATATCTTAATGTGTCAAAAAATATAATTACGCAATATGGAAAGGTTGGGTTCGTCTGTCTGGGTAGTTTACAACAATAGATAGGGGAGCCAGTAGTTCTTTTTAAGTATTATTTTTTGTATCAATGGTTTTAATACTTTTTACTTTTATAATTTAATAAATTGACTTACAATTTTAGCAGCCAGGGCACATGGTAAGGAATTTCTCTGACCGAATAACCCTCAAACAATCAAAATTTTCTTCCAAATATATTATGGAATTAATATCTTAATGTGTCAAAAAATATAATTACATAATATAGAAAAGTTGGGTTTGTCTGTCTGGGTAGTTTACTATAGTATATAGGGAGCCAATAGTTTTTTTTAAGTTGTATTGTATCAATAGTTTTTATACTGTTTAACTTTATAATTTAATAAATTGACTTATAATTTTAGCAGCCAGGGCACATGGTAAGGAATTTCTCTGACCGAAATAACAACAATACGACATTAGTTGCATACAATAGTGTAAGTAGATCCAACTCTCAAACAATCAAAATTTTCTTCCAAATATATTATAGAATTAATATCTTAATGTGTCAAAAATATAATTATGCAATATGGAAAGGTTGGGCTCGTCTGTCTGGGTAGTTTATTATAGTAGATAGGGAGCCAATAGTTCTTTTTAAGTTGTATTTTTTTATCAATGGTTTTGATATTGTTTACTTCTATATTTTAGTAAATTAATTTACAATTTTAGCTCAAATAATAATAATAATAATAATAATAATAATCATAATCATAAGTTCTAGTAAAACAATAAATTTTAAAATATCTTGTTGTAAATCACGTGCCATCCCTACGAAATTTAGTTGATTTTTTACATATTTAAGTCCTGCTCTTATTTTTTTGATTTTAATCAGTAAGACTTTTTCTACCCGTTCAATAAAACATAATTTTTTGAATTTGATACACACTTTTTATCAATACGCGAAAATATTCTTTGAATTTTCTTTATTTCTATAATACCAAATTTAAAGTAAGGTCAACCGGTAAACACTTCAGCAATAACAAATTAATATGGGTGTTAGTAATACTACTATTGATCCTGAAACCGTAAGTATTTAATATTGTTATGATTAACTCTATTTTCTGGAGGAAGTTAACCCTATACTTGCTGCTTTCTAGTTCGTAATCCCTCATAGAGAAACTATGCATAAATACTTTTCATCAGCTCCTTTCATAACTTGCACTTTTATCGAGTTTCTGCACCAGCTTGGTTCAAAACAGAAACTAAAGAGTACTGAACAGAAATCAATCGATGAAAAGTACATAAAACTCCTGTATTCATTGAGTGAAGACCAAGAACTACCACAATTCGTTCAGAATCATGCAAAAGGGTTGATGGAAGAGATATCTGTAAGTAATAATTTTCTAATTTATTTAGTGTCCCTTTTGCAAAATGTAAATTAACTCAATATGTCATGTCAGTCCAAGGAAGTTGCTGCATTTTGGGATTCAATAGCAGAATATGAAAAATGTTCCACCTCTGAGAAACAACAAGTTCAAAGCAATGTCTCAATTGATGGTTCTGATGTCACTAGAGTGCAACAAGACGAAGAATTATTGGAGGTTTTCACACAGAAAAAGCGAAGAGATGAGGATGACATAACACCAACAAAAAAGGTAATGGTATAACTTTAGCAGTGTTTTCTACACTTACATTGGTTGAAAAAAACTTACATATATCACTTTTTTAATTCAGTCCAGGACAGATTATGAATCAATGTACTCTCCACCCTCATCTGAAATGAAAAAATTACCTTCGCTAACAATTGATTCAGATGACAATAATGAACATGATGAAATTACAATTATAAGAGATGTTCCTCGATCATTTTTAGATAATAGTAATAATGAAAATGAACTTATTATAGATAGATTTAATATATCAAAATTATTTCGACAGTATCGAGATGAATCATTTAATCTCGCTAATTCTGGTGGTTTATATGTGGAGGCAGATGTCCACGAAATTTTATCTTTGACTTCAATTTTCATGCTTTCACCAAATTCCCATTCTGAAATGATGATAAATATCTTTGGTTTAGACTTATTAGACAAAATAAGTGACAAGCTCAAACCAAATAAACAAGAATTTAATGTGGAATATGAAGCTAAATTTAAAAGTATCATAAAACAGTCAATCAATATCTCACGAGATAATGCTATTAATTCATTACTAGGAAACTCAGCAAAACCTGAAAGTATTAATCTTAAAGAAAACCTGGGATTTGTTATTTTAGATGGATTAAAGTCTTTGCCCAGTCATAAATTAAAATGTAAACCAAGTGAGATTACACTCATTACTAATTATCTAGATTACATCATGAAAGGACTATTTCATCACCCTGATAAGTATATAATTGAATGGCCTAACACGGGCCAGGAAACTAAAGCTAGTAAAGTAGAAGGCAGAGTGAGGCAGCCTGATTTCTTAGTATCAGCAATCCACCAATTAGAAAAGAGGGGATCATTATTTGTAGGTGAAGTAACCTCGCCTGCAGAGAAAGAAAACGTGCATAAGAACTGTAATGATTTAATCCGAATTGGAGTTTTTATGAAAGAATGCATTGATTCGGCCTTAGACAAAGGTGCAGATATTAAAGTTCTAGGTTTTCAATGTATAGGTAAGATAAATTAAATAATTGTTGCTTTGCTCCTTCATGTAATCCTAAAATTTCATCATTGCTTTCTAGAATATACAATTGATTTTTATGCAATGGAACTTAATGCTCCAGGGCTATATATTATGCATCATATTGGTCAAGCATCGATTCCCACTTCGGTAAAGACAATGTCACATTTTGTTGATGAAATAGATATTTTTCTGACAGTACGTAGTCTTTTACAAGAATCATTTGATAATTTTTTTAATAAATTACGCAGCCCAAAAGAACAAGCAAAAAAATTATCATTTAAATGTGAGACCTTATCTACATCAAGTTTCAATCAACTTATTAGCAATACGCGTAATGTCAACAGAAAATGTTCTTCCTGGTTCGGAAGGTTTTAGAGGAATACAATTGTTGATACTGTATAAATTTGTTACACAATTCCGGTCATGTGAATTTTATTAACCAATAAAAATAGTTTAAATTTTATGATCTTTAAAATTTAATAAAAATTTATTTGGAATTTTTTATGCATTATGAATTAATCAACTAAAATTTAAATATGTATGTATATAATGCATATCACGCTGTATGTTGAAATTTAGTAATTGAAATATGATATTCAAGCCATTTACTATATAGACGAAATTTAAAATTTATTATCCTATATCCTGATAGAAAATTTAAAATTCTATCGAATATTCCCTATAAAAATTTTTGAATAAACGATGGTTTTTAATATGACGTGCAATCAATTTTCTGAATAAATTTATAGGAATTCTTGTGGCGAACTTTTCTAAAGTAGAGTCATAGTTTGTTGCATTTGAATAACGCTTGAGACATCAATATATCCACGAATACAATGACCTAAATTGAATAACGATATTAACGATATTAACGCAACGAAGTTGATACTTTATTTAATATAAAAGATATGTTATTTTAATAAATAAAATCTTATTTCATTATCACTAATCTCTGCTTGATGGAAAATAACACTTTATTTCCTTAATTAATTTAAAATGTTTGTTGATAATTCTCATATCTTGCTGCTGTGTTAAAGTTACTATAAAATTTTTTATAGTTCGTGCGCGTCTTGCCGCTCAATGAGTAAGGCGAAGAAAATTATGAGCATCTAAAGTTAAATTTTTTTCGGTTATAATCCCTATCAACGATTTTTTTATAAAAGAGCCCAAATATCATATGATCATTCTCATTACTTATTATTGCTGATTATTTAAGATTGTTATGGAATTATCATAAAATAATTTGATATGAAACAATTTATAACAGTTATAAATAAGAATTTCCCGTATAAATCATGCGGACGAGTTACAAAAAACTTAATAAAATCATATATTCACATAATAAAATTATTTTCATTTAATAAATGTTTTAAATATTTAATCTATTATATAGTAACTATACAAGATATTTTATGTTTAAGACTATTTTTTGATATTCTAAAATAAATGATTAAATTTTTATTAAGTTACAATAAAAGTTTCAATTTCTTCAATATTAAAAATTTCATCTGTAGGTAAAATCTTTTCATAATAACCATAATCATTAAGACATAAATTTTGATTAACCATACACATAGCCCAACCAAAATTAAAACCATGATCATTATAATCTATTATAGCTTTAGAATAATTTTTTACACGACCTAATTTCATATTTTTAATATCTTTATTATTTTCAAAAGAAAAAATAAAGTTATTTGATGAATTATAATATAATAATTCACTTTTAATACCTCCTAATGAATTAAAACCTATAGAACTATAACCACCAAAAATTTTATTTGATCCTTTAATTTTAATTAAAACTAAACTTGCTAATTTACCATTACATTTATTTTTAAATGATTCACTATTAATTCCATTCCTACTACCACGATAAATAAGTTTAAATTTATATAATGGATCATTACCAGTACGAGGAATTTTAGGATTTTTTTTATCAATCCAATTAACTATAATTGGATTTATAAGCTCTAAGTTAATAATATTTGATTCAATTTGTCTTATTCTAAGTGGTAAAGATGGTGAAATACCATCATAATAAAATTCTTCAATTTCTTTAAAAATATGACTAGGGATAATAACCTTATATGGATAGACTTTATTAAATAAGTCTTTATGAGAAATTCCCACAAATCGAATAAGAGGAATAAATTGATTTAAAATTTGTTTCAATGAATCATAATTATCATTATCCCAATTTGTTATATCACTATTACTACTACTTCCTAAACCAGCAGAAGTTTGTTCAATACCCCATTTAATTAAATAATCCCAAACTGTAACTTCTTCAATTTGTAAGTTATCACTTTCAAGCAAATTAAAAAGAATGTCTTTATCTAATGAAAGAAAAGATTTTGAAGTAATAAATGGCAAAGGATCTTCACAGATAGATTCAAAACAATAATCTTGTAATTTCTTACAACTGACAAGTCTAAAAACTGTATGAAGAACGAGAACAAAATTTTGACGAACCCAACTAAATTGATTCTTAATTAAATAATTTTGAACATACGTAAATAATTCTTCAAGAAGTAATTCATCAGATGCAATTAACAATCCGAGAATGTCTTCGCTTGTTTGATTAGTCAAATCGAGCTCACCAGAATAAATATATCTAATAATATTTTAAAACAAATAAATAACAGTAATACTGTATGATATAATTAATAAAATAAAATTATTCTTACTTCAAAATCATTTCAAATACAGTTGGAGTAACATTTGGTTTATTAAACATAATCATATTATTTTGCTTCGTAATCCAATTAGAAGAAAGAGCTCCTTTGAAATAAGAAGAACGAGCACGTAAAATAACTGAATGTGCACGAAATTCTTTTATATTTTGGTTTTCACCAACTTTAATAAGAACATTATAATCATCTGCATTATCTAATATTGAGGAAAAGTCCTTTGAAAGATTGGAATAAAAAATTGAAGTCATTTTATTTAAATAAGTTACAAGTATTTTTTTTTGGGTTATATTTTAAGTTAAATAAGGTTGCACAAGCTAAATTTGGGGAGTATCATTGTTTGTATTGCTTACTAAATGGCGATATTAATTTAGACGTAAAATTGACCACGGGTACAGATTAGCCACAAATATTGCTGCGTTTGCTCCTGCGGCCAAAATACACTAGCCCGGATAAAGCATATTGTGTAATAATTAATTGGTAGTCCGCATGTGAACGATAGACTAATTGAAAACCTGATTTTTACTTAATAAATCTAAAAATAAACACTGCGGGCGGCGCAGATCATTTTAAACTTTAAAGTATCAAATTTCTGAAAAATTTGAAAAAATCGCAAAAAATCAATAATTGCTTAAAATTATTAAATCAAATATAAAAAAAAATCGTATTTTTTCAATTAATTTTTTTAAAGGATATATTAATACATTTGTAAAAGTATGTAAATATAAAATTTGAGGCTTCTAGCCGGTACTTTTATAAGGCAAAAAAAAAGTGGGCAAATTTATATTTTGACTAATTGGCAATGTTTGAGAATTTTTTGTAAAATTTTTGTTTTATAGTGTTAATATTAAATACTTGAATAAAAAAGAAATAATCTCAAGGTTTTTTTTAAGTAATTTGGTTAAAAAATTGATCGACTTATCTATGGTGGGGGAACGCAGATTTTAAATTAGCTATCAATCACATGTGGATCGGCAATTAAATTATTTGAAAAAGAAAGACGTACTTTTTTAAATTTTTTAAATGAAATTTTCACTTTTATGGAAGAAAACTTATATCGATATAACCATTCACTTTATATTCTCTCCAAAAAAGATTTTTATTTATGAATTGTTTTCATAATATAAAAGAATTCGGTACTTTTCTTGTAGTTTTTGGAAAGTTACATTATTTTAATACTTTTGTGTAATAACGAAATATACTTTTTAATTTCAAGAAGTATAAATATAGTAAATGTGGTAAATTTGTTACATAAAGTTGGGATTAAATGACTATTACTTAATAAGATTTTTCAATTAGAGATCAAGAATTAACTTTATGAGAAAAAACGAAAAAGTATCGTATAATAATTATCGCACTATTTTTATTTGTTTTCGATAAAGATTACGTCAATAATTTTATCGACTCTTATAATACGGTACTTACATTCTAGAGATTTACGTCATTTTCTTTTACGAAGACTAAATGTAGTAAAATTATATGGAATAATATACTGTACATTAACTATATTAACTAATTTCGGTCTACGGTTATTTATTTAAATATTATATTTATTTTATTAAAAGTTTATTTTGTAACAGCAAAGTTAAATTATTTTAATGTACGTATGATTAAATATGATTAATATGATTAAATATTCTAATCAATGATTCCGTTTAATTGATATCATCTAAAAAATATTATTATTCCAGTAATTGTAGTTTAAATACGGAAATCAAGAATTTTTCACTAATCGGAATATAACCAAAAGATTAACTAGATTAGGATACTTTACCAACTAATTGAGGTTTTATGCTGATTCAACAAAAATATCAAGTTTCAAATGTAGATCTTCATTGAATCAATGATATTTTGATCTTGTGATACATTTTTGTCATGATGTGCTACCGATCATCGACTAACTGTACTTGGATTAGCTAATATAAGTTTAGAGTAAATTTTTAATTTCACATAACTTATTGTATAAATCGGTAAAAAAGGTCCGATGCAGTTTTGCTTCCAAATTCGAATTGAGAAAAATTAACTACTTTTATATTATATTTGTACGACAAATATTTTCACGTTATATTTATTGTTGTATTATTTAGGGACGTTAAAACTTTGCGATGAAACTGTTCAATTACCCACGCTTTATAATAAACAATAATATTTCTTTTCTTTCTGATATTGAATTAGAAATTTCTTAATTATGTTTTATTATTTATTTTTCGTATATTTCTATATAAAACGTATCACTGAGTTAGTACTTACTCATATTACTTATTGTAAAGAATGTAAACAGATGAATACTGGATATGAATGGTGTAATACGTGTAACGCAAAACATTTTCAACAAGATTTTGAAAATTGGACCAGTGGTAATATTGATATTGATAAATGTATTCAAAATATTCAATTATTAGCAAAAGGTTATCATAAAATATTAGAGTGGATACCTTATGATAAACTTCAAGATATTGAATATATTGCGAAAGGAGGTTTCGGAAAAGTATATAAAGCAAAATGGGTTGATGGTTATATTCAAAGTTGGGATTGTAAAAATAAAAATTGGAAACGTGTTAGATCTAATATGTGTGTAGCTATAAAAAGTTTAAATAATTCAAAAAATATTACATCAGAATTTATAAATGAGGTAGGTATGAAATTTTATTATTGTATTTTAATTATTTATTTAATATTATTTTAACATTTTTTTTTTTTTTTCTCTATTTAGATTACTTTACATCATAAAATTGTTGATAATAATTTTTTTTCTTTTATCGTTAGAATTTATGGAATAACTCAAGATCCAATATCAAAAAATTTTATGATGGTTTTGGATTATGCAGATTATGGAAGTTTACGTAATTATTTGGATAAAAATTATAATAAATTAAGCTGGTATATTAAGCTTAATGATTTATATTTTGTTGCTTTTGGTATTGAAAAAATTCATATAAAAGAATTGGTTCATCGTGATTTACATATTGGTAACGTTATAAGATTCCCTTTTCATTCAAGTATAACTGATATGGGTTTATGTAAACCTGCTGATTTTGATGAATCTCAATCTATAAAAAATAGTATATATGGTGTTTTACCTTATATTGCTCCTGAAGTTTTAAGAGGTCAAAATTATACTAAAGCTGCTGATATTTATAGTTTTGGTATAATTATGTATGAAGTGATTTCTGGTTTACCTCCTTATCATGATATAAGTCATGATAAAGATTTAGCAATCAAAATTTGTCATGGTCTTAGACCAAGATTTAATATTAAAGTTCCTAAATTAATTGTACATTTAATTAAAAGATGTTTGGATGCAAATCCATTAAATCGTCCAAATGCGGAAGAAATTAGAAGAATTTTAGATAAATGGGTTAATCAACCAGAATCTGATTTAGAAAATCAAATTAAAGAAGCTGAAGAATTTAATTATAATTTTTCAACTGGTCTTATACCTTCAAATTGTCGTATACCTCCAACTAATTTAGGTTTATCTTATAAAACTCATTCTGAAGCTATTTATACAAGTAGATTACTAAGTTTTAATAACCTTCCTGAACCAATAAATTCTGATGATTATTATAAACAACATGATAATATAATAAGTGAGGAATTTTCAGGTAAAAAATTTAAATTAAATTTTGTTATTTTTTAAAAAAAATATATATAATATAATAATTAATAATGAATCTTTTATAGAATCTCTGCAGATTGATGTTCCACAATTAAATATTAGTGATTATTCAGGTATTATGAATCATTTTTTTATATTGTTGAATTTGTTTTATTATAATTAAAGTGAATTTACTTATTATTTTTATATTACAGAAGAGAAGATTTGAATCGATTGGATTAATTTAAAATGGATTTTCACCTTTTTTATTAATTATTTTATATCTATTTATATTATTGTTATTGCTTTTTTTTTTAAATATTGTATAGAATTTATTAAAAATTATACATTTTTTATTTATAAAATTCATATTTGATATTTATCAAAATACTGTATATCCTTATGAAATTTTATTGTTAATAAATATTCTGTGTCACTCATTAATACCAAATAAATTTGTTAATAAAGCGACTTTCCATCTTATATTTTTGAATCAAATATTATAAAATTTTCTATTCTAATTTATTATATTTTGTATGATATAAAAATTTTATTTTGATACAGCGAATCAAAGATTTTGTGGATTATTTACCAGGTTGTTGCTGATCGTATAAGTTAGTGGTACTATTTATTCTCTGTCAAGTGGGAAAAAAAAATATAAAAGTAATTTAATTTAATTTAATCAATCTAGGATAAATGGAATTGTAAAATATTGTTGATCTCTTAAGTTCCGCTACACGACATGGGTAAGGATGAAAAAAGTTCCATTTTCGAGCCGAACTGAGCAGCTCATCAAGTGAAACGAACGGTTTCATGAGAGTCGACTCCGAAAGTCTGAAAGTCTAAACTGGATCACGTGAAATTACACAAAATTCCAAAAAGGAAATTTTGTCTCCCGGAATTTGGACACACGAGATTTCCATAAAGTATAAATTTTGTGCAAATCATACAATTCTAGCCGGAATTATGAATATCAGAACCAATTCTGTCGGAACTCTATTCCGAGCTGGTTTTTGGAGTGGTTTGTTCCACAAATTCGGTGTGGAACCGAACCGATAGAGTCGTCCCCATCCCTAGACATGGATAAGAATGATAAAAAATGCGTTAATGATTCGTTAGATAAAGAAGATAGAGAAATTTCAACACAATAGATAATTAAATAGGTGGATAAATTTAGATAGTTAGATAGATTTTAGCATAGAAATCCCAAGCATATAATAGTAGTTTTTTATTTGATAACTATAACCATATATTTTAAATACGGTCGGTGTTGATATAAGACATGTATATGTTTTAATCCTGAGCTTTTCTAATGTATATATTTATCCACTGATAAATATCATACGAATAAAGAAAGACATGTTACTAACAAAAAAAAAAGCAACATAGCTTCATGCAGATCTCGCTAAAAATGCAATATTTTTATTTATCATTTGCTAAAAATGCAGTGTTATTGTACATCGTTACATATTTTTAGCCGCAATGCATGTGATTATTTTCTATAAAAATAAAATTATTCATTTATTTTTTTTTAAAAATAAAAAAAAAAATTCTAAAAAATGGCTTTAATTTTTCATCATGGTCTTTTAAAAGACTTTACCTTAATATTAGATGATGCAGATGATTATAATGTTATTATTCAAGTTGGTGAAAATCAAAATATAAAAGAATTTCGTGCACATTCAGTTATTTTACGTGCTCGTTCTCTTTATTTTAAAAGTGCCCTTTCTTCTAATTGGGTTACAAAAAAGGATAATATGATTATATTTAGTAAACCGAATTTAACACCAATTATCTTTGATATGGTTTTGAGGTGAGAATTATTTAATTTTTTTTTTACAAAATTTCAAATTATTGATTTTATTCAAATTATATATATAACTTTTTATTAGATACATTTATACTGGTGAACTTGATTTAACTGAACAATCGGGTGAAAATATTCTTAATCTATTAGTTGCGTCCGATGAATTATTACTTGAAGAATTATTTATACATGTTCAAAATTATTTAATTATAAAACAAACAAATTGGGTTCGAGAAAATTTTGTATTTGTTCTTAATACCGTGTTTAGACTTGATAATTGCAAGAGATTACAAGATTATTGTCTTGAATCTATCTGCGAAGATCCACTACAATTTTTTTCTTCAAAATCTTTCCTCTCAATAAATAAGGAAATACTTCTTGGCTTGCTTAAAAGAGACGACTTACAAATTGAAGAAGTTGTCATTTGGGATTATTTAATTAAATGGGGTATTGAACAAACTCCTGGTCTTGGGTATGAGAATAGTGATAGAGCGAAATGGAATTATAAGGATTACGAAACATTGAATATAACTTTAAATCAATTTATTCCTCTCATTCAATTGGCAGGAATTTCTCGTGCAGATTTTTTTGATAAGGTTCATCCTTATAGAACCATTATTCCTACTCATATTTACAAAGAAATTGAAGAATTTCATTATAAAGACTCCTTACCAAAAACTACCATTTTACCGACCAGAGCTGGTTTAATATTCAAATCAAATATTATCAAACCAAAACTTGCAAAAATAATAATTAATTGGATTGACAATAAAGATACTATGTATATTCGTAATAATAGAAATGATCCATTTTATAAGTTTAATCTTATTTATCGTAGTAGTCGTGACGGAATTGGTAGCAAATCATTTAAAAAAAAGTGTAATGGACGAGTAGCAAGTTTAGTCTTAATCAAAGTTAAAAATATAAGTAAGATTTTCGGTGGATATAGTTCTATAGGATTTAATTCATCAGGAGATGATTTTATTAATGATAATGGTTTTAAATTTTATAATTCATCAGATAATTTTATTTTCTCATTTGAAGATGGCGATGATACTCAAAATATGAAAATAAGTCGGGTAATAAACAGTTCTCATGCCATATTGGATTATTACCATAATGGATTCAATTTTGGTCAAGGTTCATTGAGCATGAGCTATGAAGGATTACATGTTAATAATACTTGCTCAAATTATGAAAATAATTTAAATACTTTAACAGTTTATACTATTGAAGAAATTGAAACCTTTACTGTAAATAGGTAATACGGGGTTAATACCATTAAGAAAATTTATTATTTTATTACATTTATTTATAGCTATTTTAAGATTTATGTTTTTCCCTCCATGTCAAAATATATTTAAATTTGGTGCGATTAATAAATCTATTAGTAGATTAATACACAAGCAAATGTTCTCAAGTTTATATTAAACAGATCACATTCTGAAATTACTTCGCTGTTATTATCATTGCAAAAGGCAATTTGCAGAGAATTTATAACTAGAATTTATTGTTATTTAAGCAAATATTTAAGAAGTTATCTTCTCAAATTTGATTACAAATAAATATAAATCACAATTTTTTTTCGGATTTAGTGATCATCTGGTCACTTCTCTTTTTTTGAAACTTGTGTAACTTCATTTTTTGTGAAATAAATTGCCCTCACCAACATATAAAACTTTCAAGTTACACATGATATGTGTATTTTAACCTGCTGTGCAAGTTTACTTAGTGCACAGCATGGGGTTTCGAATACCATTTTTGACATATTTGACTTTTTTCATTTTTGTCATCCGTTTTTGAAAGTAAATTAACACCAATATGGCTTTATGTTAGAGTTGGGCGCCGAAACGTTTCGGCTATAGCAAATGCCGAAAATCTTTACTGAAATCCCAAATCAAATTTTAGAGTTGAATTTCGGTAATAATTTGGAATTTTGACATCAGTTTTGGATTTTCAGCAACAGTTTGGGCTTTTGGCAAGTTTGGGATTTGGGATTTCAACAATTATTATATTCCAAGAACTGAAATATTTTTGTTATACAGTTGATAGGTTTGGGATTTTGACACCCAATTTTAAGTTTCAACAATCATGGTTTGAAATTTCAGCAATGGTCCGATTTTGGAAACAGTTTGGGATTTTGGCAACCATCCGGGATTTGATAATAGTTTGATGTTTCAGCAATTTGGTTCCTAACTATTGTCAAAATCTCAACCCATTGAATTTAGTTTGGGATTTCAGCAAAGCGTTTCGGCATCTGCTATAGCCGAAACGACGCAACTTTATGCAAATCTCACTAAAAATGCATTAGTTTATTGTACATCGTGTCATCGTTACATATTTTTAGTCACCAAATGCATGTGATTATTTTTATAAAAATAAGGTGTTTTTTTTTAAAAAAATATTTTAAAAAAAATGGCTTCAATTTTTCATCTTGGTCTTTCAAAAGACTTCTCCTTAATATTAGATGATGCAGATGATTACAATGTTATTATACAAGTTGGTGAAAATCAAAATATGAAAGAATTTCGTGCACATTCAGTTATTTTACGTGCTCGTTCTTCTTATTTCAAAGGAGCTCTTTCTTCTAATTGGGTTACAAAGAAAGATAATATGATTATATTTAGTAAACCGAATTTAACACCAACTATTTTTGATATGATTTTGAGGTGAGAATCATTTAATTTTTTTACAATTTTTTAAATTCTAAACTTATCCGGAATAAATATTATTAGATATATTTACACTGGTGAACTTGATTTAACTAAACAATCGGGTGAAAATATTCTTGGTCTATTAGTTGCATCTGATGAATTACTACTTGAAGAGTTATTTGAACATGTTCAAGATTATTTAATTAAGAAACAAAACATATGGGTTCGTCAAAATTTTGTTCTCGTTCTTAATACAGTTTTTAGACTTGTCAGTTGTAAGAACTTGCAAGACTATTGTTTTGAATCTATCTGTGAAGATCCTTTGCCATTTATTACTTCAAAATCTTTTCTTTCATTGGATAAAGACTCTCTTTTTAATTTGCTTGAAAGTGATAACTTACAAATTGAAGAAGTTAAAGTTTGGGATTATTTAATTAAATGGGGTATTGAACAAACTTCTGCTGGTTTAGGAAGTAGTAGTAATAGTGATAGAACAAATTGGGATAATGATAATTATGATTCATTGAAACAAATTTTAAATCAATTTATTCCTCTTATTCGATTTGTGGGAATTTCTCATAAAGACTTATTTAATAAAGTCTATCCATATAAGGCCATTATCCCTAGTCACATTTTTAAAGAAATTGAAGAATTTTATTATAATAGTATTTCACCATCTTTACCAATTAGAATAAGAAAAATTAAATCAAATATTATTAACTTAGAACTTGTAAATCCAATTATAGAAAATTGGATTGTTAAAAAAAATTCTAAAAATCCTCGTACTGGTAATGATCTATTATATAGGTTTAAACCTATTTATCGTAGTATTCGTGACGGAATTAGTGATTATTCATTTAGAAATAAATGTAATGGTCGAGTAGCAAGTTTAGTTTTGGTTAAAGTTGAAAATACAAGTAAAATTTTTGGTGGATACAGTTCTATCGGATTTAGTTCATTAGGATATAATTTTAATAATGTTCATAGTCTTAAATTTTATGATTCATCAGATAATTTTATTTTCTCGTTTGAAGATAGTGAAGATACTCAAAATATGAAAATAAGTCGGGTAGTAAATAAATCTCGTGCCATATTAGATTGTTATAGTGGATTTAATTTTGGTCAAGGTTCATTGGTCATGGACAATGAAAAATTATTTGTTAATTATAATGCTTGCCAAAATTATGAAAATAATTTAAATATTGAGGCGGCAACTTATACTATTAAGGAAATTGAAACCTTTATTGAAGATAGATAACACGAGGCTTTAATGCTATAAAGAAAATTTATTATTATCATTACATTTATTTATTATAGCTGCATAATCTAATTTTAAGATTTATATTTGGTGCGATTAGTGGATTAGTACATAAGCAAATGTTCTTAAGTTAAACGGATCACATTCTGAAATCACTTCGCAGTTATTATCATTGTAATCAAATATCTAAGAAGTTATCTTCTCAAATTTAATTAAAAATTAAATATAAATCATAGGAAAATTTAGTAAATTTTTTTTTATAAAAATTTATTTTGAATTATTAAGAAGTAAGATAATGTATAAAATTTATTGTTATAAATTATCACCATTTTTGAATTACTGTAAACAGTTTAAAACCCGCGAAAACAGTAAATTTTATTTGCATTTTTGGATAGAGAAAGTGCATGATTGTAACCCGAAAACGTTAATTTCAAAGCAGAAAACTTAATTCTTTGTCAAGTTTGCATATAAGCGACTTTTTTGAGATTTCATGTGACCCAAAAGTTCTCTGTAAGTAAACTTGGATTTTCTGTCCTAAAATCAAGGTTTTCATGTTATAATCGCACCTTCTACATCCAAAAATGCAATAAAAATTTACTGCTTTCGTGAGCTTTTAATAAAATTCACTTTTTTTATTTTATTTATTTTTCTTGTTTATACTGTTCACAGTAATTCGAAAAAAGCGATAATAAAATCGTTAAAGTTAATTTAATAATAAATAATTGAGTAAAATGAAAAAGTATTTAGTAGTATACAGTACAAATAATTAATTATTATTCATCTCTTAAATTTAACCTTTTAAATGAGTAATATTTTCATAACAGACAATTTGGAAAACAAATTTAAAGTAAATAGAATAGTCAATAGTATGAATTCCTGTAATATTGTTAAAGGACTATCATAAAAGAACTAAATGATAATGTCTACAGTCTACACATCATGCAAAACATAATAAATTAAATTATGTTAATTGAAAGTGTATCGAAAAATAAAAATATTGATTTTGATCGGTTTGTGAAACGCTTATTTGAGAAAAAATTCTCTCAGGAACTCTTCCCACCGATCATCATGTACACAAATTTCAGGACGGAACAAAAGGCGGAAGAGTTCAAAAATTGCTTAGGAAAAGCTTACTAGCTTACTTTAGACGCATTCCACCATGACCAACTGCTTATTCACTCCTTAAGGAACATTTTGATATGAGTTGTGCTGGGGTTCACTTAGTGTTTTCTAATTTTCTCGCTCAAAAATGCTATTTCCTTCTGTCAGCCATCGGTAGCGACCCCCAAAAGAGACCAAGTAGGGCGAAGTATTTGCTCCTATAAAGTTGATGGGACGTTATACAAAGATGCGGGGAAAAATAAAAGAAGCATGCTTTTTGACGACTCCGGGCATATGTGGGCTTCTTTGGACTTCAGTGTTTCTTGGGAATTTTCGTCGCAAAAATTTTCTGAACGGCGCAGCAAAATTTAGCACGCGGACGGAATACAAAAGAAGTAATGGAAAACTCGCTGAGGATTAAAGAGAAATGAGGTGTGAGGCAAATTACAATTTTATCCGAGGAGGGATCAGCCAAGACCGCGGTAATCACGTGAGAGAAGACGATGACGATTTGGATTTTGATACGGATTTTCAGGAATATGGACTGGCGAACCAATCGCGACTGTCGATTCTAGAATTATCTTTAGGAGCTAAAACCGACTAGTCTAATTTCTTGGAGGGACGTATTAACTTTTTTTTGTAGGTTTCGACACATTTTGGAAAGCAAGTAGCGAAAGAAACTGTCATGTGGTTACATGAACAAAATTTTTGAGAAACAAATACAAGGTTTTCTTTGAGGGACTGACCGCCAGGCAAAAATATTTTTTGGTTTTTAGGATTTTGGTCAAAGAGGGAAAGTGAAAGGAACCTTGTTCTCAAGTCTCATGCTTTGCATCAATAAAATGTTTGAAAAAAAAATTTTTATCCGAATATTTCCGTGTCTTCCGTAAAAATTCCGTGAAAATGATACATTCATGGATATCCGTGTTAGCGAGATGAAAATTTCCATGATTTAAGGCCATAAATTCCATGAAAATGATAACATTCATGGAAAAAACATGGAAAGATAAAACACGGATCAGATTTTTTACAGGGACGGGGGAAAAGGCCGGGAGGATTGTAATTATTTTTCTCTAGATTAGTCAGTGTTTCCTGTAAACGTTAGTCTTTGTGTAGTTTAGTTAGAAATAGAGGTTTTTGTTCAGTGTGTAGAAAGTGTATGTTTTGATAGGTTTTTTTTTTTATTTTGTTGTTTTGTTTGTATTAGGATAGATTAAATTTCGTTATATAGCCATATCGTGTTGCACGTATTGTTCTAGATTTTTTGATGTTGGATATCTATCCTGAATAAAGAAATGCGTTACATGAAAAAAAAAAAAAAAAAGCTTAGTTGATGGGATTCGATACTTTCTAATTTGAACCAAAAGTGACAAGATTCCGAAAATCATATTATTGAAATCCAAATTTCGAAACTCCTTCTATATTCTTTGTCATTTGATGATACTGTAATAAACAAATGAAGGTACTTAAAATATGAATAATAAAAAGAATTTCGATTAAATGAGATGATTATATCGAGTATTGTATACTTTATTATCTTCATTATTGTATAATAGTTTATTAAATTGTGGCAGTAAATTTATAATATGATTTTTTTTCGTAATCAAATTAGCAGTATAAGAACCTTTGAAATAGTTTTCGCCAAATAAACTGAATATGAATTTTTTGATCATCATTTATTATTAAGGAAAGATTTTGATAGATTGAAAATGGAATCAATTCTTCGTTTCAAAAAAGTATGATGATAATTTTTTTATCTAGACACAAAAATATTGGATACATTGTGAATAATTTATTTAATTGTATTAAATAACTTCAACATATTGTGCAAATTTTGCTAGCTTAATGGATATAATAAATTTATATCTAGATATTTTATTTCATTTTACTTTATTGAATGGAGAGCAGCCAATTTGGTAATATACATAAGTAAACAAGCAAACTAAACTGTGTGAATAATGTGCATTATAGAAATTGAGCATCAATACCGCTTAGTGCAATACTAACCCATTTGTCAGGACAAAAAAGTGGGTAAGGATATAAACACAAACTAAGAAAGGGATAATCTACTAAATTCTGTATTTTTCTTTTACTAAAGTGTCATACATTAATACTGTCAGGTCTGAAATGATATAACCATAAGAAAACTTTCGTATTTGTATAAAATTTTGATTATTTGAGTTAATAATAATTGGGATGTGGTGCCGGAGGAGTGTGTCGCTACTTGTTTTACGCGAGTATCGATTGTTGGCATGTAAATCTTGTTTTTCTTCCTCGAGGTGGCAACCTTTTGAGACCTGACTAGGACACCTGAAAATTCCACAATATGATATCACGCGAGATCAGATGTGATATTCTCAACTGTATTCAATAACTTTCACATTGCCGAACTTAAATATCATACTATACAAATACCTTGAATTCATCTTTTTTTGTTCCTATAATTATTCCTATGATTGTTAAGTGGTCGTCATAAATTGGCCATAAATTCGTAACTGCATGTTATATTAGCGAAACCGTCTCAAATTGCTATTGTTTCGTAACTAATTAGTTTCAAAGTCTTATAAAATCATAATATTTATTCTAATATAGTCAGAAAAAAAATTGGCAGTTCACATTAGAGAAAAACTATGTACATTAACGTGTACAGGTTTGGTATATAAATAGCTTTATCCGAAAAGTTACTTAGCATTATTTCTATAGCTACATATTGTTACCGGTTATATCGGTAATTAAGAGTCGTATAACTAGCAGTATTATTTCGTATAATTACTCGATTACCAACAAGATTCTTACTCAATACTACCTATCCTGGTATTCCGGTATTGTTCGTTAAGAATCGTCAAGGTAAACAACAAGTATAACGATTTTATTAATATATATAATTTCGGGTCTTTACAACAAAGTGATAGAAAGTGATAAAAAGTGATAGGGAATATATCTTAAAGACAATTAACTAAGAGAATATATATATATTAAGGTAACTATGAAGATAACTATCTCGTAACTACTGCTATCAAAGAGTTGGCAGAAGGTATTTATATCTGACTATTTTATCTATCTATCATCTCTTTTTCTGTCATCAAGGCGAAATCTAATCGATAAATATCTATTGATATTCTATTGATATCTTATTGTCTAGGTTTCATCGTAATATATCAATACATTTGTAAGCCACTTTTTAATAAAATACAAATGACAATTTTGGACGGTTAATTACTATTGAACTAATTTAACTTCTAATAAAATCTTATACATATAAACAATACAAATAAAGAAAATAAATAATATAAACAATAATAAAATGAATAAACATAATAATACTATAACAGATAATTATAAATATAATAAATTAAAATCAATATCTTCTATTAAGTTAATCTAATGTACACAAATCCGCAGTTGTATATCGATATAAACCGACACATATCGTCAAAAATCGACAGATACACAAATGTACTGTATTCATATCGGATCATCATATGACGTCGGAAATCATGTGAGCAAGATTTCGCGTAACAATATGCATTTTTTATGTAGTAAATGTAAATAAATAATATGATGTTATAATTATAGCAACTAGTAGTGATTTACAATTTAGACGTAATTATAATCTTTATTTCAACAAATAGTAATTGTAATAATAAATAAATAACTTAATAAAAGCAGAACATGATTACAAAAGTTTCTATTCATAAGATTCTGTGTTAACATTGTTACTAACTTAATATGCATTTCTTTTTTTTAAAAGAAAAAATATAAAATAAAATAAAATAATAAATTTATTTAGTAAAATCTTCAGTTGCATCTTGTTTTCTTGGATTTATTGGATTACTTCTGAAATCTTATTAGATACTGAATTGGCCAAAACAATTATTAAATGCAATAATAGAAAACTTTTAATTGTACCTTTAAATTTTATTTATATCATGCTCGTATTCTTTTGTAATATATTCTAAAGAAAAAAAATCAAGTAATTAATAAATTCCTTTACGTACTGATTAAAAGATAACTTAATACCTTTATTGTTGATTGATTCTTCAATAAGTTTATTATCTAAGATGATAATATTTATTAAATGTTAAAATGTTGTAAATATTGTCCAAATTTATATAAAAAATAATGTTTACATACTTGGTTTCGTATTAAACGTTATAATTGAAGGTGAACCAGTTAAAGAGCTTAATGATCTACTAGTATAAATTGCTTTTGAATGAGATTTCTCATTGAAATCTGGTCCAATCATTTTTGATTTTATTAATTCTAATCTTATTTCTTCAGCTTGATTAAAATATTCGGCAACCATTTCCATATTTGACCAAGAATTAAAAATTTCACAAACATGCGTTGCTGAAGGTCTTTTTTTAGGATCAGGATTCCAACATTTTTTCATTAAATTAGCAAAATCTTCGGGAGTATCGTCAGTAATATTAGGCCGTTTTCCATCAATAATTTTATAAATTAAATCAACATCATGTTCAACATTAGCAAAAGGTTTACGACCAGATGTTAATTCCCACATAATCATGCCCATACAATAAATATCAGATGATTTGGAAAATTTGCCGCCTTTAAATATTTCTGGTGCAATATAAGGTATTACTCCATATATACTGCTATCATGTATGTCATTTGCGGGCTGTGATAATCCTAAATCTCCAATTAGATATTGATCTATTTTACATGAATCATTTTCAATTATTTCAACCAATATATTTCCACTATGAAAATCTCGATGTACGAAATTTTTTTTATGAATAGTTTGAAGTCTAAAATAAAAAATTGGTTATTAATAAAATTTTGTTTAAATAATTTTAAAATCATTATTAATTAACGTTAAGTTATAGATACCCATCTGAAATTCGCCACAAAATGTGCAATTTTTTCTTCCATGTAATCTCTGCAAAATTCTCTTGTAAATAATTATGTAAATCTCCTCCATTTGCATATTTCATTATAAACATATATTCTTTTGTTATAGGATCTTTTGTGATACCATGACATTTAATAATATATTCAAATTTACTATCATAACATTGATAAAGTGATTTTAACTAAAATTTTATAGTTCAAATTAGTATATTAAATATCTTTAAAAAAAAAATTTTGAAAATTAATTACCTCATTTAAAAAATATTTATTTGGTTCTTGAGAATTTAAAACTTTTTTTATAGCAACAACGTCTCCATTAATTAAAGCTTTATAAATAATACCAAACCCTCCTTCTGCTATTTTTTTTAAACTTTTAATTTGTGAATATGAAATCCATTTTATTTTCGGTTTTGTAGAGTGATAATCAAACTCATTTTGAGAACTTTGATATTTTTGTTTCAAAGATTTAAGAAATCCTTGAGAATCTTCTAGAATTTCATTTAATTCTTCACTGGTAAGATCAAGTAAATGACTTGTATAGCATGCTTTTGGATGAGATTTTACAATAAGTTTATTATGCTCAATTGGTGCATTTATAAATTCCATAATATCGCTTTTTAATTCTTCACTAATATCTTCAATCTCCTTATTCTGTGAAAGAAAAATCCAATTTTCAATAATATTTAAAACTTCTTTAGAAGATGGCCTTTTTAATGGATCTTCATCCCAGCATTTTTTCATTAAATCTATATAACATTGTGGAGTATTTTCAATAATTTCAGGACGTTCACCTTTACAAATACTTAAAGCAAGCTGAAGATCATGTGCTTTATCATTAAATGGTAGAATTTTAGATGTAAATTCCCACATAATTATAGAAAAACTATATATATTACTAGCTTGAGTATAGGGTTGACCTTTTAAAATTTCAGGTGCTATAAATGGTAAAACTCCATAGATATCATTTTCTTTTAAAAAAGATTTTGCAAGTTGATATAATCCTAAATAATCACTAATAAAAATTCCATATAGTTCTTCTTTATATTTGTTACATAAAATATTACCATTATGAAAGTTATAATGAATTAGATCTTTTTCATGAATATCATTAAGACCTCTAATAATTTGATATAAATATAATAATTTTTGTTTCCAATTTTTTGTTATTTCTGTTAAACATCTTTTTAAACTATACTTATTTGTATACTCCATCACTAATACATAATTCAATGTATCTGGATCTTTTGTGAATCCATATATTTTAATAATTCCATGTGAATTAATAATTTTCCACTATAAAAAAAATAATATTTAATTAATTAATATAAATAAATTATAATATCAAAAAAAAATAATAATGTTTAATCATACTTCATTTAAAAATTCATTTAAACTTTCATCTGAATGATTAAGATGATCAAAATATTTAAAAATTACTTCAATACTATTATATTTAGCTTTATATATAGTACCAAATCCTCCTTTATCAAGATATTCAATATTTTCAAATCTATCATAAGGAAACCATTTTAATTTATTTTTATGAATAAATTGATTCACAACTTCACTTCCACTAGTACCAAGTCTTTAAATACAAAAATGAAAAATTAAAATTTAAAATAAAATTTACAATTAAAAATTTAAATATTAAATAATATTAATTATACTTACTCTAAATAAAATTGTAAGATTTTAATATAATAAATAATTAATTAATTTAATTGATTTAAATTTTAAATAAGTAGTATATAACTTATAGCTTACCAACTAAATAAATTATCAAAATTTTTTAAAAAAATTTAATTATTATGAGTAAAATATTATATAATTATAATAAATTAAATATAAAAATATAAGATTTTTATAATTAAAAAAATGCAATACTTACAGGCTAAAATATTTTAAATGATTTTTTAAATAATTTAGTTAGTTTAAATTATATGTAAATATTATATAAATATAATAGAATTACTAAATAAATAACATACTCCCTATATTATTAAATAAATAATTTTTTAAATAAAGAATTTAGTTAGTTTAAATTATATGTAAATATTATATAAATATAATAGAATTAAATAAATAACTTATAACTTACCAACTAAAAAAAATTACAAAATAATTTTTTAAATAAAGAATTTAGTTAGCTTAAATTATATGTAAATATTATATAAATAT